CACTCACAACTATTTGCTGGAATATTTAATGCAGTTAGATGATTCTAATTCTGACTGCATTTTTGGTATTAGTATTTATTTATTTAGCGTCAGTATATTTGGCACTGAAATTCTAAACAACATCACTTCAGTCTCCAAAATTGTGGGTGCAAAACCCAGAAGTTTGAAAACCAGACCCAAGGAATCATATACCTTAGCTATATATTATGGACAAAAATGAAAAAGAGTAGTCACGTACATAAACACTAACAAATTAGAGATAGACAAATGCTTATTAAAATGTTAAGATGAAACCTATTGTAATTCTACATACTCTTTAGACAAAGATTTTATGGTAAAATACTTCTCCATTTCCTGTAATGTTCAGGCATCCTCCAGTTACATCTGTGATATCAGAGCTTTTATTAGTTATTTCAATTTAAATTTAAAAGATAAAAGCATTGACCTCTGAAATAAAATGTTAAGTTTTATACTCTTTCTCCTTTTGAAAAGCCAGTATTCCTTTACATTCTCATACTAGCATCTAAAAAAGAAACTAGTGAATGTAAACATAAATAAATAAATAAATAAAATAATCAATTTCAAGAGCCATAAAATTTATCAAGACAGAACTCAGAGGCTTTAAAAAAAGTGCAAATGGGAAAAAAAAAAAATCAACCAAACCCAACCTGATTGTTTTCAGAACTAAGGCAAAAAGCAAAGTAATCAACCAATAGAATTGCAGAAAAAGACAAAATAATTGCAGTTCCATTTTGGGCTCAGAGTATGGAAGTGTTAAGTACTAGGCATGTATTGCTATATGTCTTGAATTTTGTGCCAGCGATGTAAATAGACAACTCCAGAGTTGCCATCATAGCCCTTGATTAGGTCCTGCCCAACTAGCTGTTTTGAAAACTGTTTTATGCCCTTCAGCTCTACTTAGCCATTCATCCAAAGTCTCAATAAGACCATCAGCAACCTTCATCAGAAATAACAAAAAAAACCTTATTGAGATTCTCGATGAAGCAGCTCTGAAGAGAAGGCCAAACAGAAATGGAGGACTGATTATACCAGACAAGACCAGACTTCGGGGTGCTGCCATCACTAGAGCAAAATACAAGAGACACGACATGCCATACCATGGTAAACCAACCACACTGACAGCCCTGGTTTTAGATAGTATTTACCACTTCTGATTTCATGCAGGATGGGATATGCAGCAGGGTTGGGGAAAGCAGCTGTGTTTTGTTCTTGGTTTATGCCATTTCCTTTTCTACCAAGTGAGAAGGGGGGGCCTTCCAGCTGGCTAGAGCTACTACAGACATCTAGAGCTCCCATCCAGGATGTGGCAGAAAATATATTACATGAAATTACCGTTCTCTGTCTGCTTGGAGTGCTTCTTCCAGATACAGGACTCACTGAGCCCGATGTGTCTAATTCATCAGCAGAAGACCATGAGGACAATTCCTAAAGTTCAGAAGGAATGGAGCTCAGTAATACAGCAACTAGCTGTTCAGGTAAGCAAACTCAAAAAAACCCCCAAAAACCCAAACCCCAAGTAAAATCCCAGCAGAGTTATTTCCAAACCAAATAAAATGAAGCAGTTAAATTTTGTTATCAAATTTTTGAAACACTAAGGGATTACACACTTTTTCTGTTAGCCCTAAAGGAAAAGAAAAACAAACAGGTAGTTAAAACTTAATTGCTTTAGGTGACATATTTTCTGCCAAAGTCAATACAGGGGAAAAAAACAGTTGCTCTTTATTGGTCTTTAATTACAAGAAGAGGTTGGTAGCAACAAGATTTTACTTAAACAGGCAGAAATTCACTAGAAGGAGGAAGAACTGAGTTCTCTTGACTTATGCAGTCTGCTAATCCAAGACTAAAAAAAGTTAACTAAAGGAGAACCTTGAAATCTTTACTTTCTACCTGCCACTGTTGGTGAAGATGCATGCATAACTCCCTCTCAAATGCCGAGACCCATAACAATTTGAAAATATTTGCAGTACTGCTCAAAGCTCAGGAGGTACTATGAGAGATTTGTTAGCGTATTACAGAATTTATTTTATGCTTTTTTTTCCTCTTCAACAGAGTGAGCATTATCTTCCTTCTCAGTGACAACTGACACACTATAATTTCCATTGCTGCACCTAGAATAATTATCTCATATACTTTGTAGCTGACTGAATCGGTAATGGCAGGATAAACAAACCAAGAAGTTCAATACTTATTGCTACACCAAATAGCAAAAAATTATGGGATTAAACCCCCCCACCGTATCACAAAAGAGATGTTTACATTATGAAGTGTAAGATTACTTTATGATATTCAGGATTACATGTGTATCATCTTGGTAAGTGTTGCAAACAACAGAAACAGTGCATCTGACAGCACTGATTAGACAAAGACAGTCAAAACAGTGGGAAACGTGTGCCCAACAATCAGCAAGGAATAAAAAGACATGACTTACCAGCTGACTACTTGAAATGTCTAGAATTTTCTCTAGGTCTTTAATATGACGTGTGACCTCTTTCAAGAGGAGCTTCAGTCTGTTTCCAATGACATGCACCTTTTCTTTGGCCTCAAGACAGTCCTTGCCTTCAGCATTGACTAGCAACTGGCAGGACATATCTTGCAGCGACGCCACCTTCAACTGAGACTCCAGCAGTTCACGTCTGATTTGCTGTTGCAAAGACAAGTCCCAGATTTTTTTAATGGACGTTAAAAAAAAAAAAAAAGGAAGAAAGCTAGAACTCACAAAACTGGACATTTGAAATTAACAAAATGGAAAGAAAAGAGAAGCAATAAGAAATTCTAATCTGACAGGAAGAGACACAGCAGCCTAGCAGCTGCCTGAGATTTTAAATCACAAGTTATGCTACTAACGGGAGTAGTGTTCCCTACCAAAGTAAAGTTAGTTACTGACATTGGTACCATAGTTGGGTTAGCACTGTACGTTGCATGCTAACACACTCAAGAGGAAGATAAATCTGATTCGGTGTTTTTCTGATGATGCCTTTTGGGAGAGAAAGGGGTGATTATAGCCCTACCATTAGAAGTCTGTGATGATCCTGCAGTGTTTCCTGGTCCAGGTTTGGATTAATGGGCACAATCTCGTTTTTTCTTCTGTCAATATTCTCTAACCAAAGCAGCAAACCATGGCTCATTTCATGGAAATCCTACAAGTGATGAGTGATGATTTTAATAGCGTGGCAGAGAATTCCAGTCAAATTCAGGCTTTTAGTTTATCCTGTCATAGGTCCTACTGGCAAAATAACAACTTACAAGAAAGCGTAAAACAGTATATCAGAATACTATTCCAGAGATGACAAATCTAGAAAATCTTGAGCTTGGAAATACACACTTCAAGTAGTGCAGGTGTGTATTTCAGAAAATACATGCTGAAGCTGTGTTTTGGCTTGCATGGGCAAGTTTCAGACCGGCTAATGTGCACACCAGATAAAGATATGGTTTACATTTTTGGTATGTTGGATGCTGACCATTTAAAATAAGCACAAGACAGACCTGGCACTGCATTAATGCATCCTGCAATGAGCAGCGCCACTCCTCAATCATATTGCATACGTGGTCCCAGCGCACATTCATCTGAGACAGCCGCTCTTGAAGCTTCTTGCTCTCTTCGCTGTCAGACTGAGTGAACTCTGAGCTGCACAGATTGATGGATAAGATGATGGCTTTGCGGTTATCAATTGCTTTCTGCAGCTCCTTGATGATAAGACAAAGTGGGACAGGGGAAGAAAGAATGGAAATCGGTAAAACATGTGACTTTCAGAAGAACCAAGTAGAGAACGCACCACAAGAATGCAATGATTTGTCATCAGCAACTGCAGAACGGTACCTTACTGTAACAGGCTCTTTACTCTGGATACGAGATTTCTGTGCTCACTCTGTGACTGCAAATGTTCACTCTAACATCTACTAAAATTTTACTGTGAGCATAAACTAGAACAAGCCAATTAAACTTGTCAGGTCTTAAAAGCCTGAAGTCATAGCTGAATTTTAAAGATCTGGCTCATGTTTCAGATATTTTAAAGACAGCAGGCCCAACAAAATTTAAAGAGATGTAGGGCAATTGTACTGTAGCTCATAATAAAACTTTTGCCCTCACTTCTCGGTTTTGCTGATAAACATAAAAACCAACATGTTTTCAAGTGGAAAATGCTGTCAACAGTATTTTAAAATGAAAGCTTTTACTGAGGGAAAGGAAAACATACAAAGAATATAAACAACTTACTCCAATTTATCGAAGCAGGACATGTATAAAAACTCTGATTTGTTTACATTGGAAGCCACAAAAGAAACCCCTCCTCTTTTGGTTTGGAGGGCACTAATGAGCTTTCCAAGAGTGGGTGGGATAAGAACAGTATTCTTATGAAATGCCCCCTTTTCCACCTACTTTACAGCATTTACTTAAAAGCCCCATGTCACAGTGACCTTTGTAGTACTTATGGCAGCTATATTTGGATTCCAGTGAAGATCAGCGTTAATACGCTTTAGATGGATCCCTGCCGGAAACAGCTTTACTAGCTGTCCACCTCATTCCTAGCATGGAGCACAGTGCATTTTGACATTGGCTCCCACATTTTTTGTACCCAAGCTTATAAGGTGTTAGTAACTGAATGCGAAGTTGTATACCATCACATTTGCAGATCTTTATAGCTGTAAAATAACCAGGAGAGAACACAAAGGTAGCATGCAGATCCTGATGCATCAGAGATGACAGAAGAAGAAACAGGAATGTTGCAAAGTGATACCAAATTTTTCCTGTGTTGTGGTGGTGAGGGCAATGGGTAGGCTACAGCCCCTTTGGGCACTCTCTTCTTCCTCCACACAAAGTAGTATGTCCCAGTGAGGTATTTCTTTTAAAGTAGCTATTTTGTTACCAGCTTGACTAGAAGAGATTTGATTTAACTTGGTGTTTTTTGGTGTTTTGTTGTTTGTTTTTTTTTTCTTTCATCAGCTTGGCTGACATCAGGAATTGTCTGTGCATTCTGGAATTACAGAATTGCCACAGAATTGCTATTCCAAAAATTCATTTGGATTATATAGTAAATGCCGGTGGTACATTTTTCTGCCAAAAGGTGATTCATGAAATCACCTTCCCAGTCACCTCAGTTTTCAGCAGCAGCCCTCTATGTGCGGAATGGAGCAAACCAGCTGCAGCTATTGGCAACCTCTTCAACATTCCTGTTGCCTTCAGGTCTGTTTACAAGGTAACTCATGGAAAAGAGAAATAAAACTCACTTTCAGTTTTTTAATTCTGAGCTCAATAGTTTGTATGTCAGTGCTGAGATCAAGGCAGCGCAGCTTCTCCAGTTCCTCTTCAGTTTCTCCCAACCAAGCCCAAATGCTATTAAGGTCGGAGTTAAACTGCTGCCATTGTTGAAGGTTCTGCTTCATCCTCAGCTCCTTGCTTAGAGCTTGAGCCTGGATTAATTCCCATCGGTCAATTACACCTGGAATGATAAACACCAAATTCAATAAAAGCAAAAAAACCCAAGCAACTAGCCACACACACAATTGCATCGGTTGAATCCTGTGGAGGACAAAAAAATGCTCCATAAAAGCAAAAAAACCCTAACCCACAAAATACCACACTGCAAACTAAGTTAGATTGAAGATCTTGATGTTGGAGAGAAAGAATGAAGAATCTGGATGATTCCAGGCAGCAGGCAGTTTTACCACTTTCTAATGTCAGAATTGTACAAATGGAATTAGGATAACACATGTAGGTCTCTAAAACAGGTTATGCTGGTATAAAGACATCATAAATTAGCATAAATGCAAACCGGATAAGGAATCTGAATATGTCTAACTAGCCACATATTTTTTATTATTTGCATTGGTATTTGTACCTATCACAATTTAATACTCACACCTCACTACATTTGATTAAGCTACTGCTGATGCATTGGACAAATATCTGTGCTAAAAAAAGAAATAAATTAGAGACTGTTTCTTCTTGTTAGATATTTTGAAATGATACGGCAGAAGGACAAGTTGTATCATTTCATCAACTTAAAAGTAAAAAAAAAAAAAAAAAAGAAAAAAAAAAACAGTGCATGGGTAGCATATTTTGCCAAGCTAAGAATGGAGATGTTGCCTTTATAGTCTCTAGAACAAATCCATATTTTCACAATGCAACACCTCCCGTTCTACAGTTGATGCTTAAAATTAGTCAGGCAAATACTTCTACCAGGTGAATATAGATTTCCGTACTGCAGAGAGATAATATAAGAAGTGAAAGCTACTATTAGAATAAATGAATGTTGACTTATGTGTTTTGTACAGCAACATAAGCAACCTTTTTTCATCAGACAATATTCAACAAAAATGCATTGTATCCACAGGGACTTTCCTAAAGGCTTAAGGTTATGTCTCACGATATGAAGAGGTTCTTAAAATGCACTTGTATGCCTAATCTCTTTACAGGGCATACACAAGGAATACCTATTTTTCCTTACTATTCCTATTAAGAGATGTTAAACAGAAGATGGTAACAGATACAGTCGTGTAAATATATATGTTAGTAAATAATACCAAGTGTTTATTCAGAAAAACTTTGCATGTTTGTTACTTTTCATAATTGCTTTCCATGAAAGAACTAAATGTTACTTACCAGCTGTTTGTGTTTCAGTACTGTTCAGGTTAATAAGTCCAGATAATTTTTCTTCTTCCTCCTTCAGTTTATATCCAAGTCTTCTTACTGAGTCTATGCTTCCACTGCACTCACCTAGTAGCTTCATCTGTGTTAACAAAAAAATCCCATCTCAATATGCACCGGACAGGACTAATTACATGGAAAATACAAATTACAATGCAACTTCCAAAATCTTCTAAAAGTAGGTCTAAGCGTGAAGACAAAAATCTAAACTGTTACTTTAACAATCTGTCCTGATCCTGTCAAAGAAATGTATATGGAAATAATAAAAGCTTAAAGCATAAGTTCAGACTAAATAGAAATAACTCAGTGCCACTGTGCCAAATCGTGCTGGATGACTTTAGGTGCCATCTGTTCTAAATGTTAAGACACTATGCCAAAGACACTAGAAAATGTGATAAAGAAAATAAACAAAAGTGTGTAACTATTACTATGCATCCAAGCAGCTAATCTTTCAAATCTGTCAGTATTGAAATTGCTTGAATGATTTAGAAAGAAATTTTTCTTCCAGAAAACCTCCTTGAAAAAGCTTTTTAATCAAAGACTGCATATATGCAACCTGGCTTACATGATGCGTGTTTATAATTCATCAGCAAGCTGAATACTGTGCATGAAGCTATAAAACCTTCTTTTAAAAGCAGAGGAATTTTAAACAAGGATATCATCATCAGATGGAGAAAAACATGTGTGAGAAAGTACTTTTGGACATCTGCAGAAATGTAATAGGAAAATAAATTCTTTAGAGTCATGTTCCTGTAATCTTATGCTATTGTAAACACACTAATAACATAAACATCAATAGCGTGTGGTTAAGGGTAGCAACGATATGAGTAAGTCTGAGAAGCAGTAATATCTAATTGCTTTGTTAAAACAGCTGTATTTCTTTCAATAGCAATTCTAAGCATGGAGTGCTTGTTCGACTTGTGCTCCAAAATACACGCACATATCCTTTGTAACTGGAATCCAGCTCTGGTCCTGTAGGTGTTTTACTGCGGATGATGTTTTCTGTTTGCTGTATTTGGAAACGACTGGTGTCTAAGGCCTTGTCCAGCTGTCGGATATGTGCTTCTAGGGAACCAGGTTCTCCTGTACCAAAAACAAAAAAAAGTGACTGTCACCCAACTTTTCCCAAAGTTTTTTTTATCTTTTGCCCAGGCAGAATAAAGATCAGGAACAGTATCTAGATTAGAGAGTAAAGGAGAAATGTGACTGCAGCAGTACGAGTGGTACAACGTCAAAGCAAACTCGTAACTGGTTACATTAGAGGGTGTTAGTGACCTTCAGAGGACAGATGACTATACCGAGGAACATGCTTGCCATGAGCATACTATCAAAGAGTTCACAGTTTAAAGCAGGCTTGTAAACTACTCTGAAGTGACTTTTCCCTCACCTCTCTGAAGGGAAAAGTTCTCAGCAAAGAGTGCTCTAACCTCACTGATTTTGGAGAACACCTTGCTCCCTTTCACAAACACTATCAAATCAAACCTTGTATCCCAAACTCCCGATCCAAACCAATGTTACAATTTGATTTCTCCTCATTTCTCTTTGTATTACTTCTCTCTGCTAAAAACCAGTGGAATTTCAATCTATGTGAAAGGATTCTATTTGTATACAATTTTGAAGATTAAAAGCCGTATACAAACCCTAAGCAATACTGTTATAATTATATTGTCAGGGTCCATAGATGACTGGATGTCTTGAAAGCCCACAGCAAGTAGTCCATGACTGATTTAGGCCACCACACTAAGCAGCAAAATTTATAGTATTTTCCCAATTAGGCGTTTCACAAAAATTGTACTTAACATATCTGCAAGATGGTATTATTCATCCAAGCTGTTTGGAACTCATACCAACCTTTTTGAAGCAGAACTAACTTGTGTTTGCCTTATAGAGGTTAGCCGAATTCTGTGATATGAATTAGCTACAGCCAATTGTCATCTGAAGCAGGCTGCAGCCTGGAGGACCACATGAGATCCCTCTTATCCATATTCTATCCCTGTGCCTGATTTCCATCTGTTTACAAAGACAGTTTGAATTTATTCATAAAGACACAATTAAAAACAAGCATAGAGAAGTGGAGCCTTCTGTCCACCTAATTACAGAAAATGGAGCCTCTTGGATGGTTAATCTTTTTTCATACAAAACACCTCACCCCAAATGGACAGAACACAGTGCTCAATATTGTTTTTCCCTCAGTACTTGCAAAATTTTCACAGGTCTGAAAACTACGCACATTTTTCTATATGTAGTGCTATTACTTATACTCTTAATCAATCATAATATTATTTCGCTAATTTGGGGAAAAAAATAAAAATGGACAGTGAAACTGAGGTCTGTGTGACAGATGCTGAGATTTTAAATGTTTGCTATTTCAAATTTGGAATGAAGTCATTATTTCAAAAGAGGAAAACTGTGAAACCATGACAGAAGGTATTTATCTGTAAGTGCATCTAATCCCTCTGAGATAGTCAGCTAACAAATGAAACAGTAGGTTTAATCTTGTGTAAAAATGCAATGTGAAAAAAAATCATCTTCCAATATAAAACACTAAGATAAAGACATTGGACTACAGTACCTCCCCTTGGCATTGTTATCACATGAAACAACAACTAACCTGAAAGTTTATATCTAAGTAACAATCCAAGCTGTGGTTGTGTTAAAAAACATAAGTGCAAAATTGAAAAATTAGGTTTTGCTCTATATCTCTTCCTTCTGCCTTAATCTAGAAACCACTCTAGTCTCAGAGACATAACAAAGTATTAAGTTCTGTTGAGGGACTTCAGAGAATAAAGACCAGAGTAACCTACTGATCGGTTTAGTCTAGTTAGCCAAGGTGTGAGGGCCAATACTTCAAACACCATTGTTTCATCCATGCACCTAATAATATCTTTAAGCAGTAGTAAAGCAGGATGCTTCTACGTTAACATGCCAATGCTGCCATGTAAGAAATATTTATTTCAAAAGTTGTGAAAAGTATAGCAGATGCTAAGAGAAGAGAAAGAAGTTATGCTTGCGCACCGTGGTATTTGCATCTGTCTATGCTTAGTCTTTTTTTGATGCCTACCAGAGATACTTTTGAGTGCATTTTCTGTGAGTGCTACATAGGCCTCAAGAGTTTCAGGGATCTCTACATCTGAAAAAAATAAAAGCACAGTCTAAATTGACAGCTCAGCAATGGCTGTCTCCTCACAACAGGAGTCCTTTTCATGAGATGGAATGTATAAACAGTTCCAATAGCAAACATCCCTTCTGGAGAAGGAAAAAAAGATGAAGTCTGCAACACAGGGAGCCTGCTATAAAGTCTCTTAATATTCAGGCAAACCTGACTCTTTTCAGAGCAATGATCTGGAAAGCAAAAGACAGCCACAAGGTCAGAGTACAATATACCAGTATGTCTTCCCCCAAAACTGGCTGCATTTGGACACTTTCACTCGTTAAGATTTATTACACAAAGCACACAGAGTTAGAAAGGATTTCCGGTTTCACTGGAGAGCAAGACCCAAGACCCCACCTCAGGCTAAACACTCAAGTTGCTGGAGTCTTGCCTGGGTAAGAACTGAGTTAAGATTTACTTAAGCACTTGATTTTGTCTGTGGATCTCTCCCACAGCATTTCTTCATCAGTTTGTTCTGCACTTTTTGCCATATCCAGTATAGTTTCTTCTAGTCAGAATAACTTATGACGCACTGCTCTTACAGATGACATATCCCATCTGGCAGGCCACAAGCACAGAGACACAGCCAATTCCTTGTCATATCATATACGCCTTTGCAATTTTCCAAGGCTGTAGTCATCCAGGAATCTCCATCGCTGCGTCTAAAGCCAGAAGGCCACTGGGATCACTTAGGGAAAGCTATTTAAAATCTTCAGGGGCTATTTAAAATACTTTTCCATGAGCGTCTTGGCCAAGCAACCACATATGTAACATTTGCTTCTTTTTACTAGGAGAGAACAGGACACACACTTTGCCACCATACCTGCTATGCCAGCTGCTCCTCTCAGGTAGAAGTCCTTCTCTTGTCCTCTGTCTTCTTCCTCAGAGTGCAGTGCCTGCGAAACGGCTGTCTCCAGGTCTCTGCTAAGGTCGTAGTCATGATCCCACTCCAGAGGAATGGAGTCCACACTCGCAGGGGTATCTCGCCCTGATCGCTCGCTTCTCACCGGCTGGGAAAGAGGCAGCGAAAGGTTGGAAGAGGGGTGCGGAGAGAGAACGCTGTCTGCAGATTTGTCATGCCAGTGTATGTCAGAGAGATCTGCTGATTCGTCCAGATCCACCTCTCTGTCAGAGAGGTCGTGTTCGTCATCTGTCAGCTAGAAGTATAATGCAAATAGAACCGATCAATGAAACATGCAGAGGCACTGCAGGGTCAGCCTGGCTCGGTGAAATAAAGCAGCATTAGGCAACAGTCACACTGATGGGGTTTCCATTTCGCAGTCTTTTGCACTTCTCCTTCATTATTTTAAGGTGCTTTAAAAAACCTAAGCAAGAACAAAATTCATAATGCCAGCTGATTTTAATTACTTAAGGCACCACAAAGTCACATCAAGCAAATGTCTCCAGGCTTTTTAATGATGCCACTGCAATGCAGACATCAAATTTATGAAAACTCTAGAATCAAGTCATAGGAAGCATCAGTAACTTTTATCATGACCAATGGTTTCATCATATTCTTTCATATTTTGAAAACCCTGGGATTTATTCCTCTTCCTTCAGTAGGACTTGAGCTACCAAAAATTGTTTTGCTCTCACTTATTCAGCTGTATGTTCAGTTCTGGAGACAAATTTCTGTCTCTTCTGATGGGGAGAATAATTTTATCATTGTTTTTTAAACAAAACAGAATTCAATAAGCTGCCAATGAAACTATCTGACAGAGCGGGGAGATGTTCTTATTACCAGTACCACACTGCTACCCGCATTAATGAAGTTTTATAAATCTCCAACTGGCGTGGATTTTCACGATGACTTACAAAAATTCCAGATCTGGTGAGTTTGCCCTCTGAGCAGGAGATAAATAGCATATAATGAAGGGAAGCAGATAGTCAGGGTTATAACAAAATTAAACCACAGGATTTTTGGAAAGTTACAGAAGTTTCATCTTAATTCATTTTAACATCTTTCTCTCTCCTGATTCTCACACTTGTAAAATGGCAACAAACCAAGCAAATACATATATATGTAAGTATACACACAGGAAGGCGGATGAGTTTCTTGTGATAGCGTTCCACACGTCCAAAGACCTCTTGACAGTAACGACGCAGCTCATCTAGTTCTTCTTCAATGACAGCTGCATCTATGGGCTCACTTTTCTCAATGAGTTGCTCACCCTGCACAATTATCTGCTCAATTTTGTTGTTGTTCAGTGAAATTTCTTGCTGGAAAGCCTGCATAAAAGAAAATCCCATGCTTTATAAAAGAAATGAACTTTACAACAATCTAAGTTATTAAGGATGCAAGTCTTAAGAGTTTTTCAGCAAAAATGGTGTGGGTAACAAAGAGGGATCATTCCAAATATTCAAGCATGAACAACAATAAGCAATTAAATTTAGCATTCCACAGTCTTTCTAGCCAAAAGCAGTGATACTTCATGGTTTACCATCTCATTCCTCACTTGTTGTATTTGGAAAGAAAGCTTTTCTCTAAACAAGCCATGCCCATGACCAAATGTCTAGAAACACAGATGCTAAAGCTAACACACTGGAATTTTGGATAACATGACATTTGCTGTTTTTCTCTCCAGATAATGATTTTTCTGATACAGAAATGGTTGACAATGTAATAATTCTTAGGTGTCAGCAATAATGACATTGACATTAACAATTTTTATTGACATTTCCTTTTTTGATTAGTGAATGGAGACTATCTTGTTTTTTTGAAAGTTTTTCAGAGTGCAAACATCTTCCACTCTGGCAGAAAAGTACGTACTGAAACCTCACATAGCCCATAACTTCTGAGGTTGAAGTCTAAGCCTGCAAGTAAGGTATTGTATCGGGCTGCATTTTTGCATTGTGGTTTATAAATTCTTTTCCCACCATGAATGTTTTTATCCTTTCTCTCATTCCTCCTCCTATTACCATTCAATCATTCTTTACCTTAAGTTGCTTTATCTTTGCTTGGACATCACACTCTGAGAAATGTTCAATGTTGGTCAACTGCAGGTCCATCTCGGTTAGCCATACCAGGATGCTATCACGTGCTGTCTCAAATTCCTCACGCTGGCCAATAAAATGCTGGGGGGGTGGAAAATGGAGTGGCATGAAATGACCAACCCAAAAACCCCCAGAAATAGTGTTTCTCCAAAGAAATGGCTTTCATGCCCTTCAAACCTAACCTAAACTAAGTGCACCTTCTTTCATTTCCTACGTGCTTTCTAAGGTTGCCTTTTCAGTATCATCATCCTCAGCTGTAATTAGATGACCTGTGAAAGTTATCTTCTATGAAGGAGGTGGTGTTTGAGGTCATCAAGCATTTCCCTATAGACCTCATGCTTTGGTTACCTGAAAGTGAACCAGTAAGCTCCCTTCCTCTTCGAAAGGTAAAAATCCCCTCAAAACCACTGTGCAAATGCATTAAACTGGAAGCTTTTGGGGTACCCCTGATTCATAAATATAGTAGTGAAACTGACAGGCTTAAAAACGGAAAAATACTTTTAGTCTGCGCAGGATGGAAGTAACTCGCTTTTGTAAGTTGTCCCATCTCTGGTTCCCCTCGTGAACCATCTGCTTGAGGCTGCAGTCAGAGTCAGTGCGGTTCTCTCGGGCCAGGCGGCGATATTGTTTATTGATCAGTTCCAGTTGAGTCAGAGTTTCATGCACTTGTCTCTGGAAGGCCTAAAGCAATATGAACAAGACACCATCGCATTTTTAACCACTGAAACCAGGATATGTATGTAATTCTCTCCCTTTATTTTGACCTTACTGCTACATTCTGACCTGTGTTAGCTGATAGATAGCTATGGTATAGACATCTCCTGAGGACTATCCTATTGAGAGGTTGCCTTCTGATTAAAACGAACAAAAAAAATGAAAAAAGTTTACAAAACTGATAGTTCACTGAACGAGAAATTGCAACATGAATACCCGTTACAATGGCAAAATCAGCACAAAAAAATAAGACTCCCCTTTCTACTCAATCATATGCCTTTGTATTTGAGAACAGAAACACAAACAAGGAATATGAAACATTGTTTAAAAAAAATGAACAGAAATCCAAGATTCCTGTGGCTTCACTGGATTTCTTTACACATACTAAATTTGCTGAAGTGCAGACACTGAAGAGATTTGAGCAATTGTTTATTCTGAGTGTTACCAAAAATAGTGAAAAATGGTACTGAAGGAATCATCTCTTTATCTTCAGTATACTGGTATACAAGTAAGCTTTGTCTTAAAATTTTCATGGAAAGAAAATTTCATGAACATCCATAGCAACTTATGCCTGGGCAAGCGTCTGCATCAGCGCTTCCTCTACTGTTACAAAGCCTTCAGCCACCCAGCTTGAGCAGGACCAGTAGGTGACTTAGCCCGTGAGTTTCATGTTGTGACTAGCAATCACAAAGCAAGCCAGAAAAAGCACCTTGTAAGGAGCTGACTGAATTAATCCCCTCAAAAACAACTAAAAAAAATTAAAAGATTAGTAATTTCTCAAAAAAAAAATTCATTTTTATGTTGTCACAGAGACATAAAAGCAATCAATCAAAGGAAGAATAAAAACTTAGACTATACCAGCTCTCTTTTGAACAAAACTAGCTTTTGGCTCCCACTGCAGTCTATAAACTTGCTCTCTGATCTTCCTCACAATGCAGGTAAACAGTCAATCCCTCCCAAAACTAGACACCACCCTTACTAAGGACTGGAAAAGTGTGATACATAATATATTTCTGTATAGAAATTTTCATTAAAATCAGCTAACACATGAGATTTCTATATAAGCAATGCATACTTTTCATATTGTACCATTCAAAGCTAAAAAATGAAATACGCACATTTCTACTGTAATGTCAGAGACAAAAGTAAAGAAGTGGGTTTGAAAAGAGAAAAAAGATCAAAGTGCGTAGAGTCCTCTCAATATAAGTATGCCCTTTATTAAATGGGCATCAAATTGGGTAGGGGAGAGCCAACAAGGAGCAAATTGAGTTTGTGACTAGAGTGAAATGCTCAGTAGAACTGAATTCACTTAAAATTGCACAAGGAGGCAATTCTTATACCAGAGGCAGAAATCTGACTACATTTACTTGGATCACGAACTCTAAGTGTGCAGTTGTTGTTTCACCTGTTACCAAGCCTTGTCCAGCAAAAGAACAGCTGTGTATTTGTCTTCCATTTTTCCAGCTCAGCTACACAAGTATTCATCTATCGCATTCCTGTAACCCTGTAACCTCTCTTCATTTCTCTATAAACTATTAGAGAGGAAGGAGTTTGATTTTGTACAGTGAAGACAATGAGAGCCACCTGACTTCTGTGCTCAGGAACTGAAAGATTTGTACATGGTCTACTCTTTTTTTTTTTTTTTTGAGGGAGTTGTTTTTTAAATTCAACTGCAGATATGGAGGGGGAAATAAAATTAGCAAAAAAAAAAAGTCTATTTAAAACAGAAACCTGCTTCAGTTAGTATGTATATGTGACTGACTTTATACAGATTTCACAGTGAAGTTGCTGAATTCCACTGAATTTGAACACCATAACTCTTGTCACCTGCATTCCTGATTTTTGGTAGATGTAGGGAATAGGTGCTCAGGAAAAAAAAAAAAAAAAGAAAAAAAAGAGAAATAACGAAACTTCAGGGAAATCAGGCTTCTGCAGAGGCTGCTAAACTGTTCTCTTTGCAGCTAGTGCTGACAGTAAAAATTCCACACATCTGCAGGAGAGGGAAGGTCACCATAAAGGCTGAGGTTCAATGGAACAGACTTTGGGCAAAGTCAAATCAGCTGTAAAAATCAAGATATTTTTGGTACTGTTTCTCAATCAGAAAATTGCTAAAAATCAGAGAAATCTCCATTTAGATCCTGATCACTGAATAAAGGGACAAGGAGAAGGAGGCCTGAGACAGGGTACTTGTGTCCACGAAGCAAACATTTTTATGCTATGGCAACCTACCTCAACATAATGAAGTCTGGCAGAGTTTAACAACAAAACCTGGCCAGTACATTCAGAAATGTGAATGTCAATTATAAAACTTGAATCAATGTTTCACAATTTATGTTTCTGAATTAATTATTAAACCAAAAAAAAAGTATTACTTGGTCTTAGATGTTGTTTAAAATTTGCATTTCTTCTTCACAGCAAATCATTTACAGCACCAGACTGTTTAAAGAATTTCCTCAAAAATTTGTTCTTTTTCTTCAGAATTATTTTTCTCTCTCATCTTGATACATTTCTTGCAAATATGAAACTGAACCAAAGATTTTCACCTGTGACTAGCCACACAACATGTGCATGTGCTTTACACACAGGTATACACTCTATTGTAATTATGAGACTATCACATTGTAGTAGACAGAAGTTATGTAACAAGCCCTTAAGCACTGACTGAAGTTACAGCTTGTCAGTTTTGAAGCACGCACTTAACTTTTAAATCATGGGGAACACCATGTGGCCACATAACAATACTTGCATGAACATGAATTTCAGGTATGAGAATTTAAAACGGGGACACTGTACATTGTACGAAACCGGAAAAGAGTTCAGAGGGCTGGTTTCAGAGAGTTACAGAAAGAAGAGGAGGGATTAAATCAAAACAAAAGCTAAAACATGCAGCATGCATTTGAAGAGGAACTTGGTGAAGGGAGATTTATGAATGCTCTGCAGCACCTACTAACTGGACATACTAAAAAGTTGCAGAAATAAAAAAAGGTGAGAAATCTAACTTTGGTAAACAAACGGCAAGTGAGAATGGATTGATTTATTAGCATTTTCAGTTGTCATCTTCCACTGTTTTTTCATCCTAGAAACCTGCACTGAAGCAGCTATAAAATCACCAACTCCATTATATTAATACAGTGTCTCTGCTGAGTGACTTGTGTACGGGAAGGAAGAACACCAGCTGGCTGCTGTAATGTGATCAGTAGGCATTAAATTTCGACTATTATAAATCACCTCAAATTTCTTCAGTTCTTCCTTAGCAACCGTGTAAAGCACACCAGAGGAGCTTGGGAAAGCAGCTATCTTCTCAGAGGTTTTTAGCCAGTCTTCAAATCTAGAGTAGTCATCCAAAAACTTTTGCCATAGCCGCCACGTCTCTTCGATTCTGCAATAGATAATGGAAAATTGGGGAATGCTCAGACTAAAGGCCAGCTGACCTAGAAAACTTTAACTAATCATCTACAACAGCAAACTAACGCAGCACCAGACAATAACTGACTCTTAATCTAACTCAGACAGCCAGGCTGATAAACAGACCACAGGGGAGGCTAGCTCATTCCAGACTGAGCTAGAATAAGATGATGGCAATTTTTTTTAATGCATCTAATTTTGGAATCAGTATAAAAAGAAAGTTATAAGTATGCAATAGGAGCTCGAAAAATCTGAGCACATGATAAATAACTTCTGAAACACAGTCCCAGGGTAGGTATCTAAACCAGTATTTTAGAGATTAGAAATTCCACACTACCTTCAACTGCAGAACTTTTTCTTACAGAATGCTAAAGATGTTGTAGTACATATTTTAAAGTTCTCAGTCATTATTCTGCATTGCAAAGGGACATGAACATTTTTTTTGCATTCACCAAGTATTAAAATGCTCTCTCTCACTATACAGTGTAAACATATTTTTATTTTAAAAATTTAAAAGCCATTCCAAAGTTTAAAAAAAAACCCATTTGACTTCAATAGAATATGTAAAAATAGTGGCTGACTCTTGATCCTGAAATCAAATTGCCTTAATACTGAGAACTTCAACATGAAGTTCAAAATAACAAGATCTTTTTTGGGACAGGATGTTTTATGGCAGAACTTTGTTTTTACATACAGAATACATCTTTCCCCAATCTTAGATATGAAGGTCTGAAAAGGACCTGGTCTACACAAAATTTATGCTTTGTTGATTATATGTTGTTTAACCTGAAGTTTGACATCTGGAAAGTTTCTTTTTAATATGAATAACTGTTTCTAGTACAATAAAGATCCTAAGTACTGATAGCTCAGTTAACTTACTGGTACAAATCTACTAATAGCATAATGTGTACATTACAAGAAAGTAAAACAGAGTTCAATGCATTGTTCCACATTAACTTAAAATAGTTCTGAATTAATGTGCGAGGCACAAAGTTATGAAGAGCCTGTATATTTTTAAGACAGACTGTGTCAAAGATAGGACTTATAAGCTGTATTTATATACACACACTATATAAGAATTACCATGGCAATAGCCTAAAATTACTTAAAGATAGCAATCTGTGGAGATAGAGCAGCACAACTTCAAAGGAACATTTTTTTGCATAACCCCCCTGTTATTAAATATATTAAGAATATCCCACATAGCCAAAGATCATATAAAGTTCACTTCAGCATTTTGAAAATAAACTTTACCTAGAGTTCTTGATATAACTGCGTAAATGTCACAGAAATCAGGTTCATAACTTAAAATGATACAGAAAATATCTTCATAAGTACAGGAGTTCAAACAGTTAAATATGTATTATTACTGGTCAGCACAGGCATTGGCCCAATCTAGCCTATGTCATTATGGCTATCAAAATCATCCATGCTATCCTATATGGGAATAGAAGACAATGAATCTTCTGGCTCTCATGGGCGTGCAGTTTACAGATGGTCTGAGCACGTGCAGTAAATGAGACCACACACAAGATGCACAGGCACTGCAGCCCACACTTGCTCAGCAAAGCTAAGGTGGGCAGATGACGAAATTCCATATGAATGTTCAGTCCTAAAATTCTTCCAAACTGTTGAGGAACATCAGGTGCACGAAAAGCCTAACACCTGGAATAACATTTCACCCATTTGATAACTACTTTCCCCACCAGTAGTTCCAGGGTAAACTTAAGTGTTACAACTCTCCCTTCTAGGTCATGTTTTCTACATCTCTTGGAGGCACTGCTAACATCTAAGCTTTCTCTAGTTCCTCTCTCATCACTTGTATGAAGCATAGGAAATAAGACATCATTCCATCAAAAGCCTTATGAGCAAAATTTCATAATTGGTATCTGTACCTTGTATAAAGGCACATACAGATGCAATCCAAAATTTATTTCCCATAACACAACAGCTATTCGCTTTTATTCAGTGTGTGATCTTTTTCTGACCCCTACACCATTTTCTTTAGTACTGAACCCCTATAACATACATCCCATCCTGTATTTGTGCCTGTGAAGGAAACACTAATTTGTGAGCGTTTTAGACTTACTTAAGGCGCCTTTCCATTGACATTGCACAAATGTTCCTCCACCTTCTGTCCAGATTGCGTGTAGCCTGCTGGATAGAGTCACACTCTGATTCTGTGGCACAAGCATCACAATCATGAAGAAGCACTTCACACAAATTGAGAACAGATGCCACTCCAGTGCTGTGTTTCTCTATGTCTCTCTGAAGTTCCTGCAGGTGGAGAAATTAATTCTTACAAGAAATTGCAAAGCATGTATAAATACAAATGCATTTCTCTTCTACTTATTAAAAACATAATAAGCTTGCAAACAGGAGAAAAACATCTAATGAATACCTATTAAGAGACGGCATCTACGCAAGTGGTGTTGCAATGTTATCGATGAGGCCAGGACAACCTGGAAGCATGCACAGCTCTCCCAGGGACTACAAACACCAAACCATCACCTGGGGCAAACTGACAGAGCTCTGCATGCTCAGCTGAGCATCTTTCACATATATTTAATCAACACCACCACCAAGTGGTGAATTATTCCCAACCCTTTCCCATTATCACAGAGAATGTAAAGCTGAAGTTAGTAAGAGAAGTGTGGCAAGAAACGATGTTCTTGTCTGTTGCGAGGGTTTGGTAGAGGTACCATTTGTGAACCTACTCTTCCCCAGGTGAGCTTGCTGCAAAGTGGCATGTTAGACATGGAGATCAGCAGCAGCACATGTTGAACAATGCATCTCTAGTAGGAGATTTTTCTTGCTTCAACTTTCCAATTCTATAGCAATTTCACTGGAAATGGAAAAGGAAAATTCAGGACAGCTAGAGAAAATGCACTTAGGGCATCTTAGCACGTATTATAAGTGATCAGTATTATTTCTCCTGAGGGTGTCTTGGTTGCAATGGCTTGTTCTACACCGATGATAATGTTTCCTCTTGAAGCAATGTTTCAGCTTCAGTTTTGAACCACAGGTTCAAGTTAAGACAAGCCACAAAAGTAATTGGCTATTGTTATTGGATCAGTGCAAGGAAAAGAAACCCTGCTTGACTTCTGCCTACATTTGCAATGAATAATCAGAATATTAGATGGAAAAATCAGGATGGACAGTGACAAAGCCAAGACAACATAATTCCAATGGTGACAAAGAAGTACTAACGTGACTACACCAAAGAGTGATACATTGCATCTAGAATACACTTCTGATTCAGATGAAGAAAAGAAATATTAGGATGATTAGAGATATGGAAGTTTGATTAGGAGAACAAGACCTTGGCAGCTTGAGGATGAGTAAACTGCTCTTTATAGTTTTGCTGGTGAAGTAAATTATAACGTGCAAAGGGAAATATAGTGTCAACATATCGTGTCTACATACACGTAAGATCTAACTAGAGGAACTTTTCTTACAACTAGCAATATGATGTTCTGAAAATGCCTTCCAGCAGGAAATGAGATCTAAATGTAGAATCCAAAAACCTCAGCAAATTTGAAATGGAGCAAGGTCAACTTGTATCAACAATCTGATTTGGTTGTTGGTGATAACTAGGGCTGGACTCAATGAATTAATATATTTCCTCTTCTCAGTTATGAAACAGAAGACTATTTTGTGAACGTCTACATGAGGCTATCAAGTGGAAAATCACAATGTTTTCTTCCTCAGCACTTGCCCTTTCACTTTCACTTGCCTGGAAAATACTCTTTCATCGTAACGTTCAAGTGTTTATTCTTTCTACCCATCTTGAAATGTTATATAAGGGTGGATACCATAAACAGATGCAATACTCTATGAAACACATACTCCAGACAGCTATGAGACTTGAGGTTAAGTAAGTTCAGGTAACACAATCTCCTCTCTGCTGTTTTGGAGTAAAGCAGTAGTGAGAACTGCCAGTTGGTGGTCCTAAAGATTCCCAAGAATTAAACTTTTTTTATTTGCCTACAGAACCTTTCTACAAGCAATGTCTACACTGTTTTTTCTCCATAGCAGCATATTTCTTACCCAGATTTTAAAATTGTCTATATTTACTAGAGAACTAGACTAGAGTCTTTGGGTTAGCTCACAAAGGAGTAGCACCCATGCACAGCTTTATTTTTTCCTTTATCAACCGAAAAGCAAACACCATTTTTTCACATTTCAAGTAGTAGCAGATTGAGAAAGTAAACAAACAAGTAATCCTTGAAATGCAGTTTGTGACCCTAGGAAAATACTGTAGTGAAGTTACTCTATCCTTCCCCAGGATATCCAGCTTCAATTGTATCTTTAATTTCACTACAGAGACCAGCAATCTGCAAAGCTGATTCTTGGCTGAAGTAGATGCTGAGAAGTAGATAATGGAGTTACAGAAATGGAATTTGGCCCTCCTCTTTCAGAGCATAATAATTTTAATGTAATTTTGTATATGAGCAACTGGTAGCAGTATGAGCAGGGAAGATAACATGACCTCAGAAGATCGAACATGGAAAAGAATATAAGATCACTAATGGAAGAAGAAAAGAGGGATGAAATACTTAAGGTGGCCAGTGTACTGGCCTTCTGAGATGCGGTGAATAGTGATATAGCCTCCAACTAACAAAAATATTGGTTGGCATACATTGAAGGTGGGTGGGTTTTTTAATTATAACTACGGCTTGCAGTGTTATCAAATCAAATCACGATCAAGTTTCCAAACATGGTATCCTCCCAGGATAAGATTCACCTCTATTTCTCCCCTTTGGAGTTCAAATTAAACCACTCACACTTCTACAGAATATCACTGCATGCTGTTACTGTGTGGAGATCACAACAAGGAAATAGCAGAAGGCAGAGATCCACCAGTCTCCGTGTCCAGAATAAGTCCCACAAGAAACGGTTGTAACAAGCCGTGGGATGACTGCATAGGTATGCTAGTAAAAAATTGCAGTGATCTACCTTGTTGATAGCAATGATCTACCTTGTTGATAGCAATGTTCAGCCCTGCCCAGCACTTCATTGTCTCAGAAACACTACTCATTAGTGATGCTTGTGTGTTATAAATAATTATCCCTATGCAAATTACATATTGAATATTAATAAGCAATTCTTCACAGCCATGTAGCACATCAGTTGGGGAGGCAGCAAAAACTCAGGGGCTTCTTGGGTCTCAGTCCCACACTCAGCTTAAAAGAGTAAAATGCTAGTTTGTACAATTCATAAATTATCCCAAAAATATTATGGCACTCCTCTTCTCAGACATTTCTTCCTCCTCTGGAGAAAGAACTCAGGACACCATCTAACTCATCTCCAGTGAGGCACCAGAAAGGTATTTTTGCCAATAAATAACCAACAGGAACACAACAGAACAACAGTCCTCCCTAGTAATGTGCTTCTAAGTAAAACTGCACTGGGCAGTGAAGTGGAACAGGAAAGAGAAAGTATAATAAATCTTCTTAGGAGAAGCATTAGTTTTAATGCCCAAACCTGGTTAACTTAATTATTTTCTGCCCGTTCCAGTGTTGACTATTTTGTTCTAGCACTGCATAAAGGTTTTGTGTGCTATAAATCAATCAATTTTAACTTCACATGTATAGCTCATGCATCTTTGTGTGCAAAGTGATTCTCAAACAAGCTGCACAATAAGACTGAGTTAGAAAGATTGCTAAAAATAGTCATTTTCAAGCATGTGCAAAATTTGCAAGGTCTAACAGCTGTCAGTTTTGCCTCTGGGAACAGACAATTCAAACAAACAGAAACCACAAACCCCAAAGGAAAAACAATTGCACTAACTCTTTCAGGTTACATCTCTTGATCCCTTACCTTTCTTGGTAAGATCAATCAGCTCCTGGTGGATTCAATGTCAAAACCATCAGAAGGCTCTACAAGTGACACAGTAAGTACCACCTGCCTTGATATTTGAACACTTCTTTGCCTCATGCCCTCTCAGCATTGAACCAGGTATGGGCAGTCCAAGGACACTCTACTTTGGTTCTCCCCATGTCATCGTGCACCTGATAAGTATGTTGTATTTTACCTGCTGTTCATTTAGCTTCCTTTGTATCTCCTCAGAGTCACAAGTTTCATACACGATAGGTTTGGACAGCTCTGACTCAATGTGGGCAAGCCAAGATCTCAGGCTACTCATGTTTTTATCCAGCTGCTGCACTGCGACGAGGGTCTCCTTCAACTTCTTTACTCTGTAAGTGAAAAGAAACAGCAGCATAAGTACACCCTGAAGGAGAATTTCCACAGTATTCCTGTGTTTCAGAAGTTTTCAGAGAAACTTCACTCAGATGGCAGGTTCTGTTCTGAAATCTACCTTTATTATGTAACAGAAGTATATTGTATGTGCAAATAGTCCTGCATTCATAGATTCTGGTTAAGAAAAAATAAGAGCTTACAAATGCCAGACAATACTTTCAAAACTTCTGTACCTCTATCAGTTAAATGTTTGTTAAGAAAGGAAAACTCTTTTTTTTTTTTTTTTTTAAATGAACTCACACACACCAAACTCCCAGAATAATCTAAGTAATTTAATTGTGTATTTGACCAACAGATGACAAAAGTGCATCTTAGACTATAGATAACTTATCCATTTAACCAGTACTGGTGATGGAATGGATTGAGTGAACAGGCCTTTTTCACCCCCGTACCCTTTAAAGATCATGTAAGTCCAACCCCCCTGCCATGGGCATGGATATCTTCAACCAGATCAGGTAGCTCAGAGCCCCATCCAACCTGGCCTTGAATGTTTCCAGCAATGGGGCATCTACCACCTCTCTGGGCAACCTGTTCCATTATGAAGACTTGTCCTACAATAAATAAGTTTGAGAGAGAGAAATCCTGCTGAGAACTTAGTGAGAATTCGTGAATCCCAATGGCTGCTTTAAGTTGTTCTTGGTATTAATGGACTACTTCAGATTTAAACAGATAAAATTGGAATGTAACTGCATGGCAATTTCCAAGTAGTATTTTTCTTGAGATTCTGTCCCTGCACCAGCAATGACCAGGAAAAATTAAAGTGTTTGGTTTTTTTTTATTCAAGGGAATATTAAGCTTAGAGAGTGAGGAAAATTTAACTAAACCTTCATCCTATCTCAGTATTTTTTTCCTTCAGCCTGTTTCAACTGCAAAAATGTCTGTCAGTAATTCCCTCCTTCCTATCCCCATGTTACATAACATACATTAGTGGATTCTGAAATTGATTCTAGGCTTTCTTTTTCTTTTTTTTTTTTTCCTATTTATGTAGTACCACAAACAATTTTGAGTAACATTCTCTTTTATGCTTCTATTGCTCTTCCACTTAAGTGTTTCAACATCAGAAAGCTTTAAGAGATGAGTGCAGCTGGGAACAGACTGACTAAATCAGGTTGAAAAACACAACATTGCCAGATTCGTCAAACAAACAAAATGCCACCTGACTATCCTATAATTCAAACAGAGCAATTCACATTTTTTTCCATAATACTAACCACCAAATTTATCATGTGTTTCCATACTTAAAGCAGTAGTTGCAGCTGACCATTAAGAGTCTAATATGGCTGTCCTCTTCTTACCAAAGAGAAATGGAGAGATCTTACTGTCACCTTAAAAAAATTGAAAGTTAAATCTTTCAAATTTTGTCTCTTTCTAGCCCTCTCTTTAGATCACAGATGGTCAAACTGTGGATCCTTAGCATCAAACATGCTTAAGAACAGTTTGAATGCATCTGCCTTGCTAGAGTCTCAATGACCAAGAGCTGCAGGGTTGAGAGCTGAAAAAAAATCTTGGTAATTGGAAAAAAGTCTGGGTAATCAGAAAATCTGGCTAAAAAGGGTCTGAAGTCAACACAATCATGCTGAAAGACTGTGCCAGTCCCCATCATCAGGTTATCCTGAAACACAGCTATGTATTTAGCCTTGGAGAGATACCAGGAAAACCACCAATGTCTGGGGGCACCATCTCCTTGTCACCTATGGTTGTACATACAGTGCATTGTGGGTTTGGACCAATTGAAAATTGCTCATAAAGGTAAGCAAGAAGGTTGGTTATCACTCTCCTGGAACTCACATACAGCTTTTCAGTCTCAGACATTAATTAAGAGGAGTGAAATCCTGCCCATTTTCTGCTTAGATTTTCAAGGCTGGATGCTGCTGATCCTTTGCAGGCACGCTGGAGCAGGAAAGGGAACAATGAGTCACAACAGCCCTGTGTAGAAGCGATGTCACTCCACCATTTGCAAGCCCAAGCTGTGGACCAGGCTTTTCTTATTTACAGTTGTATAGTACCCCAACCTCTCTGCCGGATTATATTTACATTTTACCTGATAAAGGACCCCATCATTTAGAAAGTGCCCCCTTTGCCTCAGGCAGAGTGCATGGGAATACATCGTTGCCACAGCAAAGAACAACCTGTCCCAAATAGAGCTATTTTCAGTCACATGACCTAAGTTACACAAGAGAGAAAAAGAAAAAAAGCATGACACACTAAAAGAACACTCTAACCAAACCCAGAATTTACTCCTAAACCTGCCCTCCTGCCAAATTGTTGCAATTCCCTGCACCTAAATTCCAGCAGTTAAAAACCAAACACACCCCCCCCCAAAAAAAAAAAAAAAAGAAACTCCCAAAAGGACAACTCTCTTCCTGCTCCCCACGACATCTTCTGTTAACACTGTTCTTTGTTTGTACTGAGTCTAACATAACAGGTTCCTTGCCCATGGTACAAATAGAAGCAAAAATAAACAGGTGCTTCTTGGAGTATGCTGGGCTTATGTTTCTTGACTGGTCTGCAATACAGTGTTGTGCCTCTAGCTACTCTGAAAACATATCTGTCAAAAAATAATAGATGTAATCCGTCATGTCTAAGAGTTTTCTTTCTGAATTTTAGCAGGCTAGATGCCTATGCTCTTTAGCTCACTGCATACTGTGCCTGTGTACAAATAATTACAAAATGCGTGTGCAACAAAAGTATATCTCTCCTAAAAATGTAAGCTCAAAACCCTATCTTTCTATGTTAATGGCAGGACCCAAAAGCTAATGAAACTAAAAGCTCTGCCTAGAGACAAACATCAAATTATAAACCATTCAAGTATGTGGGATCCCTAGCCAACTGTAATTTTGACCTTTTGAGATTTCATTTACAAGATTTTGTTTAAACAGTTAATTATTCCAATAATAATCTCATGCTTTTGTTACAGCACTACGCATGTTACTGCAAGAGACTTGAGATAATTCCTCTCTTTGATGATGAAGATTCCGCATTGAAATCAAAGGGTTTGACCCATGACATGGTTGTTTTAAAGGCTGCTTTTTATATACCACACACATCAGCCTTGCTACCTTTTACAAATACTTAAGACTCTCAGAAATGAAAATACCGGAGAATTCAATTGTTTGTTTTTATGGTTTACTGATGAAAACTCATCTGAAAATTTGAATGGGCTTATTATGCTTATGATTCAGTGTTCCAATTGCTGCACCTCAGTTTTACCAGCAAGTAATAACTTTAAAATGCCTATTTGACATTAAGAAAAGGTAGTGGGAGAACAACTTAGAGCTGAAATTAAGCACAAATACCTTTAATTCAACTAGTCCTAAATTAGACAGCCTTAGATTCCACTTAAACCTAAACAGGAACAACCCTGTAAATACATAACAATGCATCATATAGAACTCATAGCTACTGCGTTAGTCATTTAGACAGCTGGTTACTAATATTAAACTCTAAAAGCCACATGAAAAATGTCAGAAAGAACATGTTAGCTAAGTCTGTACAAAGCCAGTTGAAAGCATAAAAGTTTTCTTAAAAAAAAAAAATCTACTTGGAACTGGAGACAAAGTTTCAAGAAACACTTACTCTATGAAATAGTGAAAAGTATTATACTATTAAAATCAGTTTTAAAAAAAAACAGTTTAAAAATAATCTTGTTATGATTAAAAAAAATTATTGTCCCAAGTACAGTACTACTGCGTACCAGGACAGTTATATTTGCTCTTTAGATCACAGTTTCCCCTTTCAAAGAGTAAATTTCTAGAACTCTGAACAACAGCAGCAGAACTTCTAGAAAAGATAATGTGAAGAGGGAAAAAGAGAAGCTGAATCAAAAATACAAGATGATGTAGGCTGAGTTCAAGTATTTCATGCAGTTACAAAACAGTCATTAATATGTACAGGACAGACCAGCTTCGATAAGTCTGAAATACTTTCTTTACAGGCTCTCCTTCTCTGCCTTTCGCGTGTAGCCATGCCCCTTTGATGACACAAACGGTGAGCAGACAAATACAAAGTCTGCCTTCTCTCATGTGTATACATGCTCTTGTATTTAAAAACAGCAGTAAAACCAGTCTACAGTTTCTTTGAGACAGCTAAGAGATTTTACTAGTTCTAACTCTGCAGCAATGACAAAAAAAATTGTTCTGGGATTGAAAAGTACTAGCTGTAAAACAAAGTATGCTGTTATCACTGTCAACTATTTTTAAACTGAGCAGAAAACAGTAATTTCTAGCTAAGGTAGTGATTTCTACATATCAATATTTCAATTAGGTTCCCAGCAAGCCAAGACTTCAGAAAGAACCATATCAATCAAAAGGAAACAAAAATAGCTGCCTGCCTTGTGATATCACAATTACAGTCTGGGAGATCTGAATCCACACTGCCGTCCTCCGCCATCCTCACAGCATGCAAGTCCTCTGCCACCACCATGAAATTTTCCAGCATTAGAAAAGAAGAACTTCCACTCCAAAAGCCTGCAAACACTGTGCTTTGGGCGGGGGGAGGAAAGGGGACACACTTCTCTTTGCTGGTGAGTACTGTGCAGTGAAAATGCTGCACGCCAAACAAATGTTAGCAGCCGTTGCTTGATAACATGAGACTGAATGGTGACAAGTGGTCATGTTTCTAAATAAAACTTGCATTCATCAACAAGTGCCAGACTTGATCTCCAGGAATGTGGACCGTGAGTGCTAGGGGAAGGGATGAAAACACGTACAACAAAGCCTTCTTTGCAAAGCCTGAGCAGTTGCAGCATTAGCACTGCTTCCTGGCTGTAAACTTCTGTTAAGATTTTTTTGCACCTGACATATCAGAAAAATTCATCTGGAAGGATGAAAATGTCCTAGAAGGACAGAAACAGAAGTCTCTGATGCAGAGACACAGCTACCTTTCTGTAGCTGTCTCTTCTGCAGTTACAGACCCCCTCAGAATGGAGAGGCAATTAAAAAAAAGCGGGTAAGGAAATAAAATGTGAGAAAGACCGAAAGACAGACAGAAAGACAGAGGCTTTTACAGGTGAATGGAGAAGTTCCATCGTACAGCATAAAATTAACAAGTAAAGATCCAGACTGGACGCATGTTACCATACTACATTACTAAAGCACTTTCACAGAGCACTCCTTGTTGGTTCACAGCTGTAGGAAACAAGCTACTCAGCACAATGCTCCAGGCAAGGAATGACTGCAGCTTTGCAGAAAAGCATGAAGGCTCTAATAATTTATTAATGCTGTCAGGGATCCAGAATATGAAAAGATGTGTTCTGTTCTCAACACCAGAACAATTAATCTGCATTTACTAGCTGAGTGCAGCAAAAATCATGTTATATGATACATTCCAAACTCCAAAATATCATAACAAGGACACGCTCCAATATACAACAACATATTCTAAGGAGTCTCTGGAGCCTTCTAAAAATTATCTTGGGAGATGCAAACCCTTTTGTCCCGTGGGAATTAGACATCAATACAAATATTTTGTACATACATTAACAAACCACTTGGGCTTTAACTGCTATCAGCCTAAGCTTCAACTGAACTAGCAAAATTTCCACAACCTAGCATCAAACTCCTCCACCATTTACTTCCCAACTTCAGCAATGCAACGTTCAAACTTTGCAGTTTGTTTCACTTCAGTAAGTACAGGAATGGAAGGGGTTATGTGTTTAATTGCATACAATAGTGCTGAGCAGGCTAAGTTGAAATGATCTGCAAATAAAAGTAAATAAATATTTTACATAAATTAGTTTAGAACTAGGACTTGACACCCTGCTTCATGATAACAGAATGAGAAAGTTTAAGTGTATCATATTGCAGTTTGTATCTCCCCACCCCAAGAATGACACAGAATCCTGAATCCTTACCTGTCCCTATAGAGGACACTAACCTCTAATATTGAATAGACAACACAGATCTTTTAAAGACATGTTTTGCAGTTTCTGAATGCAATCACTTTTCACTAGAAACTTCCTGAAGGTATTATTTGAATGTTTGTCTGAGTAGGTGTTTCAAACAACAAACACAAAAGCACGCCAATATACTTTATGTTCAACAACTGGTGATGTATCACATCCTCTGAAACCAGCAGTCTCCTCGACCATAATGCACCACTTCCTGATTAATTGTTCTGTAAGAAACATACAGTGTTCATTACTTTAAAATGAACCACTATAAAAGTTGCTGGAGCCACCAGAACGCTTCTGCTTACATAAAATTTACTGCTCCCATGCTT